CTAACATTCTGTGATTCTGTGTGACTTTCTCTGTTGCTGCCCTGGGTTGCAGACGCTGGTGTGGCGTTATCCCAGAGCCCCTGTCCCACAGCAGAGCCCCCCTGCACGGGGTGAAACCAGAGGGACAGCAGGGCACCATGCTGCTCTGCAATGCCAGTGGTCCTTACGTCCTTTATCAGAAAAAAATCACAGGTTTTCTTAGGCTACTTCAGGTTTTCATAGGTTACTTTAAAAGAAACCTTGTTAATATTTTATTCAGGAGAACAGCTTGCTGGTAGCTATATGTTTTATTTTAATACTAAAATTGTATCACAGAAACTTACTGCATTTTTCTTCCCTTCAGATGTTATAAAGTGCAAAAAAGACAGGAGTTCCAGGGGTCAGCAATGCCCCGTTTGTGCCAGTCCCAGAGATGGAAAAGGGCAAAGCTTAGTCCATGTTCCTCGTGCATCGCTAACCTGCGCCAAGCCAGCCATACACAACTCCCTGAAAGTGAAGAACCTCACAGTGCCGGATGACGGGGACTCCAGTTCCGTGTCTCCCAAGGACTTTGTAGCTCCTCTGGGATCCGTGGTTCTGAACATGACCAACCAAGCAGGGAGTCGCAGTAACTTGGTGTGCAGCATCCAGAAACCTAAGGAAATGTCTCCCGTCTCCTTTGACAAAGACGGCAACAGTACAGTTCTCAGAACATCGTTCTCAGCGTTCCTGGTGTGTGGCATCGACGCTGAACACATCCAGCAGCTGTGGAGCATCCTGGCACTGTACAGCAACTCTCCCTTAAAACTGGAAAGGACACTCCTGGCAACTAACGGGCCTTCTGTGAGTTACAAATACAAACAAATCTACTCGGAAAAAGATGAACTTTTTACCAATGTAGAGGCAGAGCTGAGCGCTGAACCCTCCTGGCTGATGCAAAGCGAGGTGGCGTTGCAGCTGGACAGGACAGCCACCACGCTGAGCACGCTGCACATCCGGTACTCCACCGATGCTCGGGTTATTCTGCCCGGTGCTGACGACAACCAGGTGAGAAATAGCTGGACCATCATCTCCAGGGACAACAGAACACGCACGGAGCACACTGTTGTAGTTGGGGGGAGTGTGGAACTGGAGTGCCGAGCCATCGGGGAGCCCGCTCCTGTGGTAGAGTGGATTTTGGCTGATGGGAGCAAGGTCCAGGCCCCGTACATCAGCGAGGATGGAAGAATCATCGTGGTTAAAACGGGAACATTCACCCTACGGACAGCTGACACTTTTGACGCCGGGCTTTACCACTGCATAGGCACAAATTACAACGACGCGGACGCCCTCACGTTCAGAATTACTGTGGTCGACCCTCACGTCGAGCACGGCAGCGTGAACGGAGCCCAGCTTTCTGCATCCGTCGGCAGCACGCTCCTCCTTCCCTGCACATCCACGGCCGTTCCCGATGCTGCCGTCAGCTGGGTGTTACCTGGGCACGCGGTTCTTCATCATTCCGTAAGAAACAAACAGATTTTTGACAACGGCACCTTGAGAATACAAGGGGTGACAGAGCGAGACAGCGGCTACTTCACTTGTGTTGCAGCCAACCGGTACGGGGTCGACCTTCTGGTTTTCCAGGTGTTCATCAGAAAGGACAAAGCCGCTCTGCAGCAACAGCAGGTGGCTGTGGGAGAGCGGGAGGAGGGCGACGGCTCTGGCCAAGCGATGCTGGCCTCTGCTGTGACACAGACACGTCCTCCAGCTGCCTGGACAGCTAACCGGGAGCCTGCTGCCTCCGCATCCGGGAGCTGGGTCACACAGAAGAGGAACGGCTACGGGACAGCGACCTACTGGCCCTACAGGGACAGAACAAGCAGGCGGTTCAGGGGACACAGAAGACAGTTCGGTTCCTCAGCCCGCAGGGTGGATCCACAGCGCTGGGCAGCCTTTCTGGAAAAAACAAAGAGGAACATCTCTGCATCGGCAGAGAAACGAGGAGAAGTTGCCACAAAGCCACCCATCCAAGTCCTCCATATGTTCCCAGCGGTACCTGGGGACGAGGAGGAACTATCTGGCGATCTGTCTCCAGAAGAAGAACTCCTGATACCAGTGACAGCGACGGCTGCGGTGTCTGCCCCGGGGAGAGCGATGGGACACGGGAGAGCTGCAGGGCTGGAGGCGGCCGCGGGGAACACTCCTGCTGGGAACACCCCAGTCCCGGTGGCAGAGGCAGTGATGCCCCTGCCCTCGCCTCTTCCACTGTCTGTGTCGCCTGACAGCAGAAGGCCACAATCACATCTAAAACCCACAACTGCAAACTCCGGGGAAGGATCTGATTTAAGTCAGGTATCAGCAGAGGGTGTGAAACAATTGGCCGCAGCAGATGGAGCAGGCGGAACATCCACGCGCCTCCCTGCTCGGCACAGGTTGGTGTACGCTGGGGAGGGCAGCCACCAGCGTCTGAAGTCTGGAGCCACTACCCCCGGGACGGATGTTACCGACACCAGCAAGCCTGTAACTTCCCAAAACGCGGTGGACAAGATACATGTTGTCACTGAGTCTGTTGATAAGGTTTCTACCAACACAGATCGTCAGATGTCTGTAGTGACAGCCAGTGAACCGCATCCTGAATTTGGTCAGGATGTTTATTTTCATAGTGCTCGGAAACAAGTAACTCCTGAGCCACTGCTGGCTGCAGCTACCGCTGCTCATCAGCCAACTCAGACTGTCCAGGATGTTACAACGCGCACACCCCAGGCCCTGCTGCTGCAACATGGAAGACGAAGGAAGATTCCTGGCAGGAGACGAATTGTCAGACCAGGATGTGTACCAAGCATGAAAGAGCACAGATACAACTTTGGGAGGCCAGGATCTGCCAGAGGAGGTACAGCTGCGGATGTTCGACTGAACACAGAACACGTATCAAATTTATCAACCTTCAATAATTTAAGCAGCTCCATCAACCTGTTTAGCCCAGAGGCACCTCTGTCCCCCCCCTCTACCATGAACGTGCCACTGGAGCACCCAGCGGGTGCCCATCCAAACACAGCCTTCCTCGGGGAAGAGGAAAATGAACCCAGTGCGAGGCAAAAAGCTGCCACGACAATCGTGCCTTTCATCACGACGGGCATCCAACACTCTCCTCAGTGGAAAGTGGAGAGCAGTGCTCCATCTCGGACAAACACGGATGGAGCCCAGCCTTCCAGCATCAAACCGCCAACAACAGCAATCGGCACAGCTCACAGTGCTGCAGCACCTACACATACCGCCAGCACCAAGGGATCTTCCACCCCTGAACCAGTCTTGCCCAGCACGAAGCCTCGAACCTCACCAAAAAGCTCCCAAAGAGGAAAAATGACTTGGGAACCTCTCTTTAGCAGTGGTGCACAAAAAGAGGTTCTGAAGGAGCGACCAAACCAACAGCCAGGTGTGTCTCCACCAACAGAGGCATCGACCGTGCTTCCTAAAGCTCCGGCTGCGTTATCAACGTCCAAAATGTCACCTTTGCACCTGATGCCCGTTTCAATAGGCGCGAATCAGAGCCGTGGTTTCTTGTCTTTAAACAAACCTGCCCATTATGGGAAGGGTGAGTCAGAAGAACAC